TAATATATTTGATCTTATCTTCAAAATGGAGCGATATTTAACCCTCTTCTTTCTGATGACCTGGCCTGCTGTGCTATCTGCTTGCAGTCAAAACTTTAGATCATATTAGATGAGGTACTGCACATTGAGATTATTAGTCTGAAACTCCTTTGTCTCAGTGGTGTCTGTTTTGTGAATGAGTGCATTTCATGGACAAAGAGATACTAGGCTCCAGAACAGAGAATTTTTTTTTTTTTGCTGATTGAAGTTGACATCAGTGCAAATGCAAAACATTTGCTCTTTGAGAGACAGAGGTGCAAAGTGATTCTCCATAAGACTCCATTTCCTGATCTTGAAGACTCATTTGTAGAAGACATTGCTACTTTGTGCTCCTGTACCATTACCAAGCTTCTACAAGCTGCTCCCTGCTCACATCACATCTGTGCATGTGAAATTGGAGAGGCTCTTATAAAATGAAAATAGGTTGTTATGGTGCTTCACAGTGGCTATGATGTAATACTTATATCCAGGCACTCGCTCATCATGGGGTTAAAAGTGCAGGAGCTCCCTCTGTTGGTCTGTTCATTTCTACCTTACAGGAGACCATAGACTGTACAAAGTGTGATGAGGGACAGACATGTCTTTCCTCTTTTCACACTACAGAACAAAACAGTATGAACCATATCCACAGTGTTTACTTTTCTATTCAGGTACATTTTTGATGCAGTTTATTCATTAATAATTGTTTTGTCACAGACATTTGCAAAGCATGTGACAGATTTATGGTGAACTGAGCTGCCACAGAGCCCATTTTATGCTGATGAAAGCCTGACTAGATGCTGCTCTTTCCGTTCTTGCTTGGCAGACAGGCAGTAGATTCTTTAATGCCAAAAATGCTAACAGCAGATCACCAATCAACTTGAAAGCTCCGAAACAGCTGGGGGAGAAGAGACTGATGCACAAGGAGAATTTAGTAAAGGGATGATGAATTATAGAGATGGAGCAGGAGGTGACTGAAAGCAAGAGAATCTAAAATAAAAGAGGAGGGGAATGGAAATAGATGACAGTCATTGTCCAGACAGTGGAGAGATAATGGAGGGAGTGTGTAGCAGCTAATCTGTCCAGAGATCAGTGGTCTGCCTTCATTCATCCATTCCATCAGAGTTGTCTTCTTATCACTCTTTAGTGGTGACATATGTGGTATTTTCTGTAAAGAACATCTTTATTTGCAAAGCAAACATCTTAAAATGTCTTGTTTTTTTGAAGAATGTGCATATGTAAGACAGACAGGTAGTGTTGGGTTTAAGTGCTGGTCCAGTCCAGTTTCCCCCTTTTCCCTGTGGTTCCCCCTCCAGCACTGTGAAAGAGGTTTAGACAGGCTGAGCTGAGAATTGGCTGGAAGCAGAGACACGTCTGGCTGCCTGAAATGCAACGCTTCCCTGCCTCACGCTGCAGAGTTTCTGTCTCCGGGCAGTCATCTCAGCCTGTGATAGGCTGCTATTAACTGCTGCTCTCTTTGTTCCGATTCACCCTTCATACTCTGACTGCTCACCCACACACCACTTTCCTTCTTTCTGTGTTTTGTCTGCTACTAGGTAACAAAAGAACTGCTGAAGATACAATTATGTTAACACAAAGGCATTGTCAGACTGATTTATATTCATCTTATTATTAAATATTTCATGTAATTACGATACTCCTTTCAGTGTATGTTAAGTATTTGAAAACTCGTATTTATGACATATTTCTTATTTCAAAACCACAGACAAGTACCATTACTGAATAAAGATGATCAATATCCATTCTGGGAGGAATAGGAGTGAGAGATATGCAAGCACTTCTGCTGGTTAAAAAAATGTTTTGGAGTCTGCAATGTGCTTTTATTTGTCTTCTGCATTAAGTAATACCCTTCACAGGTTCCTGTTGGCTAGACAAGCTTCACTGTGTGTGTGTGTGTGTGTGTGTATGTATGTGTGTGTGTGTGTTGGCCTGTGTGCATCCAACCACAGTTTTTTTTTCTCCACCATAATGGAACATATGGCGGAAACGACCTCCAGTTACCATAGCAACACAGTGTTTGCTGTTGCATGAGAAATGTCTTCTGCAAGGACATAAACAGAGCACTGAAATTAGCCCTAATTACTGTATTATTTCACTGTATTCAGTTTTATTTCCATCCATACCCTGTAAGTACAGCTTCTACATGAACATTTTTCTGATGGACATCAAAACAAAATGTTCAGAGAGCAAGATCTTTTTTTCACAAATGAATGTGTTGAGTAGTTTTATTTACATATTTAACTTGGTGCATTGTATGCTTATTTGTTCTGTGCATATTACGCTCTATAAGTGAGTCCTGTCTTCAAAGCTGTCTGTGTCACTGACTGTCTGACAGCATGATCCTGGTTCCCTGTGACTGATCCAGGTGGATCTCCAAGAAGACCAGTTTTATCCTGCAGGGGCACACTGGGCCCTCACAGGGATTACAGCTCTGGCTCCCTTCTTGACCATGTGCTGCCTCATCACATAACAAAGCATTTTGAAAATGGGGATGGTTTTAAGGCAACACATTTGTGGATAAATTCTACCTAATATATTGAAATGTAATAAAAGGTCCCATGTATCCTTATACCCTGTTTTAGCCTCACAGTTTTAATATGGTGTCTGATGTTTTTATGTAGCCTGATGAATGAATTTAATGTGTCAGTGGGGCACATTGCAATGTAAGTAGAACCACTATCTCTGCTGTGATGTGACCTCAGGGATAGTGGACGTAATAACCATGACAACAAAAGATATTTATCACCAGCCTCTGTGAATGCTTATGTCTCAGCTCTGCATTTTTGTTGCATTGGCCATATTGGTAATATTGTTGGCTGAATCGTATCCCCTTTGTCTGTCCTGTAAAGACTTTTATTTGATTAATGTTTGCCTCCATCTGTGACAAAGGAACCTCAAGGGATGCTGAATGGGTCCAGTAATGTCTGGAGGAGAATCCCTATAGGTTAGCTGGATCAATGTATAGTATGAGCTGTCATTTAACTGTGGGGGGAGGGCGACAATAATGGAATCGGTTCCTCTGGTTCATTGTACACGACTCATTTCATTGTAAGGTCTCAAGGGTATGTTGCAGAAGCCATCTTCTGCATGTGCACACAATAATCTTCTCCGGTATACATAGTTTTCAGATCAATTTCAGTATGTCTGTGAAAATAACCTGGGTTTGTAGAGCTAAATCTGGGTGTGTCTTAGCACTGACAAAAGGTCTGTCAATTTTTTTATTTAATTCAGGTAGAAAAGGACACTACAGTACAGGTTAAGAGAGAGGAAACATAACATGCAGTGGTGGTAGATATAATGAGCAAGCTTTATCAGAGCAGTTTTACTGCCTTTTCTTCTATGTGGATAGAGCAGAGTGGTTCAGGAGCAGGAGAGATAGGGGAAGTAGAGGGAGCAAAGTAGAGAGAGGTAGGCTGTGAGAGAAAGAGAGAGAGAGAGAGGGAGTACCAGACTATAAGGTATGCAGGCTATGGGCTTCTGCAGCCAGTCTCATTTAGTCTGGGAGGAGCGGAGACAGACTGATATGGCTATAGGTGGCAAAGAGGAGCAACGTGAAGATGCTAGATTGGAAACAAAGAGAGGCAGCTGTTAGACTGTAGAAAACAAGAGAGAACGAAGAGGAAAGGTTGGTCTTGGTCATTGTCTGAGGAAGAGGTGGTGGGTGTCTACCTGAGTGTCAGACAGTAGCATCTTGGTGCGGAGAGGTGTGGCCCACCGGCAGCCATGGCAGTGAGTACGTGGCAGGCTCTGTCTCCACTGCAGTGGGCTCGCTGGGGCTGGGATACACTGCTAGGGGGGACAGGAGATGGGGACAGCCCAGGCTCGGATCCGGCTCTGGGGCTCCTCCGGCGTCTCTCTTGGGGCTCGCGTCATGACAACATGATCAGAGCTGCCGAGGAGCTGGTGAGACAGAGGTGAGAGAGGACGGGAGGCAGGGGCCACATACAGGCAGATAATACATTGATCAAAGGAGCATGAGGGGTGTATTTGCTACCATCTGTATGGGTGTGTGCATGATGCTGAGCGAGACCAATGAATATTGTTCTTGTTTAGGAATATAACATATACTGACTTTATTTGCCAAAATGCAAGGGTTTATATTCTTGGCAAAATCTAGAAATCAGTCATTTCTCTGTTTGGGACCTGATGGTTTTTCCTCATGCCCCCATCTATTGCATAGCTTTTGTATCTTTAGATATTGTGCTTGTCTTATGTGTTAATATGTATTAATATGTTTGTGTGTTAAAAATTGAAGTGCTTACTTGGAAAATATTCTCTGTTGTGATATGATGTTTCAGAAGGAGAGATGTTTATGATGTCAGTTTCAGTATCAGGCTGATACAGACACTCGGGTCATTCAAGTGATATCATCCTTTACTTACAGCAGCTTTGACTTAGTGTGTCCCTTTTTGTGTCACAGGAGCTCAGACTCAGATGGAGCATTTGAGACCCCGGAATCCACAACTCCAGTGAAGGCTGTTTCTCCCACAGATAGCCAGAACCAGCAGCTTACGTCTGACGACAAAGGTACAGCAGGAGAATTATTCCAAGATGTGTGTTTTGTGCGTATACAACATGATAGCCTGTTCCAGTGTTGTAAGATTAGCAGCGAGGCAGGTGAAACAAGATGTTGTTCCACCATCTAGTGGAATGAAGCAGTATTTCACATTTGGCTTTGTTTGCTGAGACAAACATGTCACTACACAAAACTGAAGCTTTTGGTTTATCTAGGAAAGGCTGATAAGTCACTTCAGACTCTCTTTCTCTTTCTCATGTGATTATTTTTCAACAAATTATTTATATCACATTTTAATCTATATTTAGATCTGTCCAAAGCCAGCTACCTTTTAGTTCCCACTTGCATTTTAGTGTCCTACATGAGTTAACATGCTATGTGATCAACCCAATTTCAGTTGCTTTTTAAAAAGATTTTTTGTTTTGCCTTTTTGATAACTGAAGATCACTTCTTTACATTCTGTCTCTCCATCCTTTGTAGTAACAGACACCTCAGTCAGTGATCCTGCCTCTTACTATTCAACCGATCCACCGTGCCATTCCCCATCTTCTACTTTTGATGAAAACAAGCCAATTGCAGCCAGTGGCACATACAACATTGAACTTTTTGCTGCAGATTCAACAAGTCACACTCTGACCCGTTCCCTCAGCCTCCAGGGAGGAGAACTAGAAAGTTCTGGTCTGTTGGATGGATCCACAACAGGAGGTTTCCGTCCACATTCTGAATCCTTCAGCATAAGCACTGAGAGTGCCCCAGGGACTCTACGCAAGCCCAAGAAAGTCCGTCCTGGTTCTGTAAAGAAGAAGCCTCTTCTTAGACAGAACTCCAACCCAGAAAGTCCAAGGCCATCCTCATCCAGCAGCACCCCAGAGGTCACGAAGTGGGAAAAGCCTCAAACTTCCAGTCCAGCTCAGGCTCAGGAGGAAGCAGAGAGAGGATCTGCAACCCCAAGCCCTGGAGGAACCCTTCGAAGGACCAGGAAGAGCCGAGCAGAGACTCCACCTCCTCTCCTAGAGGAGACCAATCATAGCAGCCAAGAGGAGAGCCCTCCCACCTCTTCCTTACCTTTGTGCCAGGAGGAGACCCCTCTTCCTGATAAACCAGTAGGCAACGACGAATCTCCCATCCTCCCCAGTGGCTCCTACAAATGGGATCCAGATAATTTTGAGAATATTGATCCTTTCAAGACTGGAGGCAGTAAAATTGCTAACTCGCCTGTTTTGGGTCGCAAAGATCCTGTGTTTGCCCCCATTACCACCCCACCAGACAGCCCCCCTGTTCCGGCTGTGCAATCGTGGCCCCCGGCTCCTCTTGAGGAGCCAGTCACTAACTCTGAAGAGCAACCCATCCTCCTCAAGCGTCAGTCAGTAAGGCTGGAGTTTGACTATTCTGAGGAAAGCAGTGAGGCATCGCACCAGGCATCTCCCCCACTCAAGAAAGTGGGCAAGAAGTCTGGTGCCAAGATGCCTCTGAGGAAACCAAAGCTGGGGCTGAAGAAGGTCACCCCAGCACAGATGGAGCAGCTGGACAACGATCCTCCAGTAACCCACAATGTCAATGAGGATGAAATCCCGGTTCCTAAGGCCTCTTACAAGTTTGAACCTGACAAGTGGGAAGATCCAAATTTCAATCCATTTACTTCAAAGAAAGGCATTGCTAACTCCCCTGGACTATCGAGGCCATCTTATAACTTTGATGCCGGTAACTTGGACGACACCATAGACCCTTTCAAATCCTCCAGTAAGATTGCTACTTCCCCTCCCAAGACCTCTGCCTGCTTTGAACTATTATCCAAAGACAATGACAATGAAAACGACAACATCGAGGAACTGGAGGACCAAAACCAGAACAAACCTGCCAAGAAGAAAAAAACTCCTATCAAATCGTAAGTTAACACAGTATTACAAGAGCATCATATGCCAACCAGCCACTTTATTAGGGTGCATACACCTGTACAGTTGTATGCAATTCAATGCCACACTTCCTTTTTAACATCTGTGTTTATGAAGCTTAGAATGTTTCAGTTGTTGGTGACTATATTACATTCAGAGGTGTTCTTAATATTGTGACCCTCTCATGTACTGTATGTAGCTGGGGAGGACAAAAATAAGAAACACCTCTGAATATAATGGACTACATTATATTCAGAGGTGTACAACACCACCTTTAACTATGACCTCAATAATTAGCATATAATTGAATTTATGCATTTATGACAATTTCACCAAAAACTGAAACATTCTGAGCTTCATAAACACAAATGTTAAGGCAAAAGTGGTGCATTGAAGTGCATACAATTGTACATGTGTACCTAATAAAGTGGCTAGTGAGTGTACATTAATCAGAGAGGCCACACTCACTTGCAGAGTGTTGTAGTGCACTGTACATTGTATTGTATGCCTAGGAATGCCTGCATTTTGATTAGGTTTTTAGATTAGTCTGTGTCTGTTTGCACCCCACTTGTCTACTATGCCAGTGTCCTCTGTCTGTCTCTCTGTCACCTGTGTCTGTGTATTGTCATATGTCACAGGAAGTCCAGGGGTGTGTCCTCTCTGTGTTGTCTGTTGTAAGTACAAGGGGCAACACAACCATCCACCCTTTTTGACCCTTAATTCCATGTGGCTTTACATTTAAAGCAGCATGCTGCCCTGTTGTCCCTCGTCTTACTGTATTAACAGAAACATCACAGTCCCTCATACCCACGGTCAAACAATCCCATTGACACGGCTTTAAAAAAAATTCTGCCTGTTTTAACCAGAAGATACCTGGTTTCAGTTTTGGTTTAAAATCTGAATTACGTACAGTGCAATCCTAATTGAAAGACTTTATGGTACAATTATTATAGTTATCTTAATATACTGTCTTCATAATATCTTAAGTAAGTGTAAAATGTATAAGAGCATTTGAACACAATTTGAAAGAGTTACTACACACAAGCTGGAAATTTTTCACGTGGACACATTTAGCACAATGCAGCAAAGTGCACAGAATTGGACCATCACATCACACTTGGTGTAGTCAGCAGTGTATAAGGCTTGAAACATGCTTCCAGTAAGGGTCAGTGCAACAGCGCTCAGTGAGCTGCTGTTTCTCCAAAATGAAAGTATAACAATTGGAGCAAATTCTGTTGTGTGGTAGAATGTTCCTTTATCTTTTTTTAGTGAAGTAGACACAATTCAAGATGAGTTTTAACTTCCATGCCACTGTATCCCACCTGCAAATGTGTAATAATGGAGGTGCTTGTGCTCCCTCTTGTGTTCATTGTGGCTATTGTTAAAACAACAACAACAAAACATGTAACAGTGATTATATATTTTTGTTTTTAGATGATAATATAGGTGAGTCATCCTGAAAATTGACAGTTGCTTTCCAGGTACTTCCGGCCCTTTATAAATCCTTGAGAAGTAATGTTTTATATTATCTATAAGCTGGAAACTGAGGTAACAAAAGTAAAAACCTGCTACTAATGGTTAATTGACAACGACTGCATTAATGTCCTAACTAACCCACTATACTGCCAGATATATTCCTGTCTCAGAGCTGTGTTATTTGTCACTTTGTTTGAAAAGTAAACTACAGTATTTGTAACATAACATTCATTTACCAATACTCTTGACTGTGCAGTTACTAAACAGACTCAGCACTCCTCACAAACTTTCACACGTCCACACATAGTACGTATATGATAATTACATTTTCACATATTTGTGACTGTACACACTTTTGAGATATGAATCAGTTGCACTTTAGGGGCTGAGTGAGTCTGTATCTTGATCAATAGTTTTTCTTTTTCTCAGTAATACTTTCAGAGTGAAGAGGTCACCAAAGAAATCCCCGTTATCTGAACTATCCCAGGTGCGTACCTAATGCTTCAGGCTGTATTTGTACTTTTTCACTTGTCTCCATCAGTTTGGTTTACCTGTATTTCTCTTTCTTCCCTTTGATTCCATGACTGCCACCGCTTTTGTTGTGTGACAGGATCCTGCACCTTCAGACGAACCTCCCTCCCTCCACCAACAGGATGACCATGCCACAGATGAGGAGAAGCTGGCCTCCTCCACCAGTCATAAGTGGGCAGCCCTGCATGACATAGATGCTGATGTGAACTCTGACCAGCAAAACTTCCCTCATCCATGTGACCTTACATCCCTTGTTAACGAGAACAACCTTCCTAATCAGACACAAGGTGAGGCGCTGCCATGTGATCTTGGATCTGTCTTTGTGCCTGCAGCCACCTGTCAAACCAGTGTAGCAGGATAACATGAAAAGGTGGTGATAAAACTAGTGTTTGGATAAACCATTATTTATTGCAATCAGTTCTTTACTGCTATTCATCCAGCAACATTATTTGTTTTTGTGGCAGTGAAATAAGCCTGCTGGCCTAGTTCTCTACTGCCCTCTGACCTCCAGAAGAGCCACCTCTTCCCAGAGGCTGCCTGGCTCAACCCATCTGGGTCAGAGCTGAAACAGGGAGCAGGCAGAACTCAGCCGCTCATCCCATCTGGCCAGAGCTCAACACTGCTCAAAATGGCTCTGCATCTAAATCTTTGTTTTATCTCTCTGTTTTAGGGCAAGACTATGAAATTGAGTACATGGAGAAGATTGGCTCTTCTTCGCCTGTGAGTATTTCACATTATTAAGAGATTTAATTTGTGTTCATATGTCTAATGTTTACCACTTTACTTTATTAATTTCTAGTGGCATGTTTTATATGTAATATGTTTTGGCTACCAAAAGCAAAGGAGATTTAGGATTCATACATAAAAATGGTATGTTTTATTCTCCAGTGTGACTTACAGTCACTGTCTGTGAAGAAGCCATCACTGTACCTGAAGTTGGATTCAGTGTCTGATACCTTAACCAAGAAAACCTGTGCACATGGATCTGAACCCAGCTCCCCCTGCACAGGGTACTACACACTCTACTTCTGCTGTACTATCCTATGTTTTTATTTAAATATGTGTAGTTCAATTTCATTATTTCATGCATTGAATGTTCATTGTACATTTTCAGTGCTTTCCTGGTATTTCCAGTTTGCTAAGTTTAATCCACAATGATCTGGAGTGCATAATGCCTGTAGCTCAGCTGTTCCAAGACATTTTGTTATTAACATTTTCATACATTATATACAGTACATTACACTCATGTCACTCTCTGTGCATTCTTTTTCTCATTCTGTGCAGGAGTTTTGAGGAGATGGAGGCCCAGATAACAGCAGGTATGAAGACACCGGTGCTAAGTTCTCGGCTTGGTCCCGAGGGCTCTGCTGGGGACAAGGGCAAGAAGAGAGAAAGCGAGTCACTTAGCCGAACAGAGAGCACAGAGAGGGATGAGCAGGTGAGCCAGATTCAAACTCAGTGAGCTGTTATCACATACTCTGTCATTTCTGAGTCTTGTCACCATTGTGTGGAGAATATGTCAGTTTAGATTTTATATAATTTACACCATGCCACTGTTTAGTCACAAGGGGGAGACAGAGTGCCACTCTACACATGCTTTATTGTAGGCCATGACTTGCCCCGCCAACATGAATGTAAAGTTATGTCAGTGATAACAAATAGTCAGTCTGCCACACTAAGTTTTCAGCTTGAACTCAGTGAGTCAGCTCCCACTGCTGCCACTCAAACAAACATTCAGCGCTTGCTTTGCCATGCTGACCCCTGCCCTCCTCCCTGCCCTCTGCCTACTCCTCCTGGTGAACTTATAGCCCCCTAGCCAGGGCCCAATGGAGGTTCCTGCTCCTGGTCTGGCCATGCCCCTGTTAGACAGGCTGTCTGAGTGTGATGACCCCCTGCAGTACCTGGAGCCTGACCTGGCTGAGACCAACCCCACTGCATTCGCCCAAAAACTACAGGTGTGTTGACAGATCACACATGACCCCTCTTGACCCCCTTATAGATCTTGGCTCTGTTGATTCATTTGTGGGTCTGATACATGATAGTGTATAATTTTGGATGGATGTTATTCCCATTGTGTCACCTTATTACTTCCTGCCTTTTCATTGCCAAGTTTTCAAGTTCCTCGTCTTACCTAAGTTGCAGTTTTTCATCTTACTGTGAGAAATAAATGGATGGTGTGTGAAATGTAGACAACATCAAGTGTGTGTCCTCAACTGAAATTTCTATATTCTTCCCTTTGCTCTCTCATCCTTGGGCCGCAACCCCCCTCCTTGACCCCAAAAATCCATCAACCCCTCCCCACATGTGTGCGGCCCAGGAGGAGCTGGTGCTTGCTGCCCTGAGGATAGAAGCTCTGCAGGTAGCCAAAAACATCTCTCAATGCCCCTCCCTCTTCAATGTATCCCCCCAGGTACTGCGCTGAGTCAGCCTGCACCTGCTGTATGTGTGTCATTGAGCAAAAGAATAGATGAGTGATCACATAATAGCGAGTGTGTGTAAAGGTAAATGTGCGTGACTGTGGTGCGCGCGCATGAGTGTGTCTCGGCCTGCTTCTCCCTCCCCCTAAACACACCATTCTGAGTGTGACTGTGAACCCATGGCCTTATCAACACGGTGGCTGCACCACTACATCCGCAGTCCTGCCACCTCTTCAGTCCCACATATACTGTGAAATCTCCAACATGGCTTTAAGGTGTCCAGCTCCCATCCTGACTAGCAGTGAGCTCTTCCAGGTTATCTCCTCAGGAACAGTGTGCTGTGCCTTCTTAGTCCCTCGCCATTATTATGCATGGTGGGCAACATGCATGTTGCCTGTTCATGAGAGGCTTACATGAGCATGAATGTAACTGGGAATGTCACACACTAGACCTGACATCAGTGACTAAGGTGTTACATGGATATAACTCCCTCAGATGTCTTTGTTGATACTTTGCTGTCATTACCCCAAATCCCAGTCACATTCTTGTTTTCTTCCTTTTCCCAGACTAACAGCACTAACAAATAGCTACACCAAGCAGATGTATTCAGTTTAGCTGGAATTTTAGTTAGAACATCTGGTCGAAGGACTTGTGTTGAAAAAGCATGCACCTAGAAATAGTGAGTGTTTTTTTTTTTCCTTTGCTAGATAATCTATAGTTTATGGTCAGTGGAAAAACTTTCATAAGAGTTGGAGCAGGGCAGACCCTTCTCTGTGCTCTTTCCTTCCAAATCTTATGCTGTTGTCCCATACATTTTACAGTCTCGAATCAAGAAACCCAGCACTCAACGGTGGAATATCAACGGTTCACCCTTATTCCTAGTAAGGGTAACATTATAGATCTGTCTTTGTTTTAATCTAACTACAGTGCAGTCTAACTACCCTATTTGGTGATAAACACAATTTTCATTGTTTATGACTCAGTGCACGAGCACACTGGTTTTTAAATAAGTTTAAAGTGCTGACTTTCAGCTTTAAAGGCAATTGAGGGTGTTCACATTTACACTGGTTCAGAGTGTAGGAAGGACTTTTGCCTGTAAATGCTCTTAAATTAAAGCTGAAATTCTGCATTTCACCCTCCTTGCGCTGGAATACAGAGCAAAAATGACTGTCCAAGTACCTGTTGACTGCACTGTATAACTCTAGCTCTCATAGACCCTTAAGTCCATAATCCAGAGAGTCTGCAACTTCATTCTCCCTACATTTGCTGCCTATCGTAGCTGTACTTTGTCCCTTTACTTGTCTGAGTTGTGTTTTCTGCAGTTATATCTACTGTAGAATCTCTCTTACAGTTTTTATGCATCTCCTATTGAGTTATATTTATGTTTCTTGTAGAGATTGTCTTGTGGCTTCAACTTTTGTCTTTAATTAGCTTTTTTTTCACATTAAGTAGTTTTTTCCTTAATTCTATGCGAATTTTGCCTACAGCATTTGTGAAAATGATACCAAAATGTTTGTAGTTTACAACACATGTCATCCAGGGTGAACTGGAAAGGGTGCTTTTGTTTTGTACAGTGCTGAATTATCAGCCAGGCAAATCTGGCATGTTGTTTGTGGGGTAACTGCTTTGTGGTAATTTCATTCATTACAATTTTGTTTAGCCATATGCACCACTGAAGCACAACAAAAAATTTAAATGGTCTCTGGGCTAAATAGATTGGGGGAATGTCAGTTTGGGTTGGGGTCAGCTGGGGTTCCTAAGATAATTCTTGGGAATTTTCTGTAGAGCTTTATGCAAAAGTTAGTGTTTTCTTAAAGTTTCTGTTTAAACCTCATTGAACTGGGAGGGTAAGTTGACTAAAAGCAAAAGAGGTCCATAGTTGCCTAAACTTGACCAGTGTTTACCTGTGGAATAATGGAATGACTGCTTTATCCAGACCAAATGCTGTTGTTTTTCATGTATTACTGGATCTCAGTGCATTTGTTTCCTTTGAACCTCAGCCATCAAGTCCTCCTGTAATCCAGGTCTCCTAAGGATGACTAAATTTTTTTCAGAGCAGAGTATTAGGGGACCAAAACTGCACTATAACATGAATTGCTTTTGCATTGTCACGTGATGCTTTGTGGGAGGACTTGTTGTAGTCGTAAGCTGTGATGCTCATATGAACATATGCATTAGTTATATCTTGTTTTGTATTGTCTCTCAGTACACGTCAACCCTATAACCAGTATCATCTTTTTTCTATCAGTAAATCCTGTGAAATTTCTGGCTTATCTCCCATCATAGTCTTTGTAATTATAAAAAAATTGGGCAAATGCTGTAACAGGCTACACTAAACACCACGGTTCTAGCCACATTAGTTCAGACCAGTTTACCATGCTGTTATTTGCTTTAACATGAGACTAACCTCTAGTTCCCATGCTGCCCAGTTTGCTACCCTATCCTCCCTCTCCTGTATATGATGCAGTCCTTGCTATATCAGCTGCTGTCCTCCTTCCTCTCTGCCTTGCCTGGAACCAATCTCATTCAAGCTACTGCGATGACCAGGTGATCATGATCGCTCATCTGGGGACAGCATCAGCCAATCACTTGGCTAATAATGTGGCAAATGAAGACTGTTGCATCCAATCATGTGGCGGCTGACCAAGTCTTCAGGAACATCACTAGCCTGCCTCATTTACATATTGACTTTTCTGCGTGGTACATTTTGGTGTAGCTTGATGCTGCCTTGTGGTTTGGTTCAGGAATCCTGTTGAGAATGTGCGTGTGGACCCAAGATTGAGGCTGTCCCATCTGTAGCCCAGTCTGCTTTGTAACTGGTTATATTTCCTTTCCTTTCCTTCCTCTCTTTTTGTTCATGGAAACAGCACAGAGATGTGTCATCTCCAGTAGAGAGTGCTGTGTCCAAGAACACGTTGTATCCAAGGGCGGTCGCCTCCAACTACATCGAAGACGAGAGTCCCCACCTGCCCAGAGATCTGGACCATTCGCTGGAAATTGCAAGAGAGGAGGTGCAGATTTTTAATTGTATAATCTAATAAATGCTGTATATACTTTAACATCTCACACTTCACTCAACTAATTTGTCAACTACCTCAGATTGTGACAAAGGAGAAAGAAGTGCTGGAGTGGCAGAGGAAGTATGAAGACAGTCGCCAGGAAGTAGTGGAAATGAGGTAAGAAGTTGCACCTTAGGCTGTTCATCACTTACATCACAATGAAGTCACACCCATACACCACAGCGTGGATTTAACACCTCCCTGTGTTTTTGTTAAATGGCACTGTGTCATGATGCTTAGTGTCTCCACTAATTATCACCGTTTAACCAGTCAATTGGTTTACTATGCTTACACTGTCAAACACAGCCACGATTAACTGCATAGTGGCGAGCTAGTTAAAGAAGTATGTACTACCAGAATGAGTGTTAGCAGTGGAGGATAAAGACATAAATGCAGTTGTATTATATGTTTATGCTTTAGAGTTAAAGGTTAGTTATCCATGAGACAATGTGTTGCTCATTTCGATTATACATCATCCACTGCCTGAACAACTGCTCAAAACTAGGATTGCTTACACTCATATTCATGTCTACAGATATGTTTGACAAATAGGGGGTTGGGGGGGTACAGCTGATTATTCCTCTTACCTCTAGGAACCTGCTTTTCCCAGAACAAGCTTTCTATTGGGCCCTGATGGTCCTTGGGTTGGATTATATTGGAGTGCTTTAGTGTATTGCTTTAGTGTGACCTCCTCTTGCACTTAGCACAGCTTGAATTCTTTTGGGGAAACTGTGTTGAAGTCTTGAAACCATGACAGACCCTCCATCATGTTTCACTGAAGGATTCAAGCACTGATTCTTCCAAATCTGCTCCATACTGTTGATGATTGGATCCAAAAATTTCAAACTTTTATTCATCACTCCATGATCTTCATTCCAGACTTTGTGAGCTTTTGCATATTTCAGCCTAGTTTGTTGGCTGCTGTCCTTCCACAAAAGCCGTTCCTGTTCAAGCTTTTTCTTTGGATTGTAGAAGGATCAACTTGGCATCCAGATGAAGGTGCTAGATGCTGAGCCAGGTCCTTGCTGCATTTCTGTGAAACCCTTTATCAGATTTGAACAGTTTTCTTGGTCTTCCACTGCTGTTTCATTTCTTTAGAACAGCCTGAATACCACAACTTAAGTATCCAGTTTGTTTGCTGCTTTTTTCTGACTTTTTGTTTTTTAATACTGTGTGCATATATCCTATATTTTCTACTATTGTTATATTCTGATAAAGAGACTGAGAAATAAACATATAGTCATCATAACATTGCTAAAACTACAAATCATATGGTGGCATAAGACTTCTGCACAGTATCTCAAAACAGTACATTTTTCACTCAACTTGGACAGATGTTCTGACCAACATATGAGTGAAATATGAAACGTGTTTGCAGACATGCCAGGTTCACAGCTATCTGATTAATATCCATCATATTCCAGCTATTCGTGTGTAAAATTATACTTATTTTTATTGGCGGATGTATGAATTGCTTAAAATTAGACTGTTTTAGAGACACTTATACTTTGAAATAATGTGTGTGTTATATTGATATAACCTTACAGTGATGATATGCAATCTGTAATCCATAGGAGAATCGTTGCTGAGTATGAGAAGACAATTGCACAGATGATAGGTGAGTTCAGTGTTTAAGGTTTTTAGTTGCTTGTAAGACCTGCACATTGGTCACAGGTTACTGTATCTGTCTTTTTAAACCACATACATTTTATTTTAAACCAAATACTTTTGTTTTTCAACCTCTACTGCTACTTTTCTTCACTGGTTTATTTAAAAGAAGCAAAATATACCGTACAAGGTGTTTGTGCCCCCTAATCCATTGCCACTACCCTCCCACACAAGCTAGCTTTGCTTTGCGCTTAATTTCATGATATGAATCCTGCTGTCATTGGAGGGGGAAGTGTCACTTTTGCCTATTCGTGTCCAGCTTTTCTGGACTCATTAATTTCCACTGCCGGGCCATTATTCCTGCTCTCACCTACATCTTCTTTGCCACCTCTGGACAATCCTGAAGATATGACCTTTTGCTGCTGTCTAATTTCAGTCCTTTTCACATTAAAGCACTGCCACATAATGCAACAATCTGTCGCCGCTCATGTCTAACACTCGGCTCTCTCACGTGTCTTGCTCTCCCAGCTTGACTTAACACAGTCCCTTCTTTTCTGTTCTGCTCCCATCTTTGCCCCTTACTATTTGATACCCATGACAGGCATGCCAGGTGAGTAACACGGACTTGTCGTTCACTTGTTTGTGTTGGCTCACATCTCTCCATCTGTCTGTCAGAGAGGGGAGCAGGTGTGCTCACTTCCTCCATCTCATACTGTGGCATTGGTTTGTCCCTACTGTTTCATCTTTTATGTTTTAGATTTTTTGAAATTCTCAATGAGTAAAAAGGCCAAAATCTTCATTTTCAATTCATTTACTCTTTATGATTTGCATAATACAAATTTAATCAAAACCTTTTAGGTGTACATACACACAATGGAATTGTTTACATGGACATTTGCACTTCGCTTCTGTACTGTAGAGGGTTGTAAAAGCCCCACAGATTTAGTTAGTAGCAGGTTGGTTATCTCTGTGATAGGAAAAGGAAGGGAAAGCTGGAGGAGGCTGAAATACTGTGGGAGCTTTGTTATTTAACACTGAGGCATCAAGAAGCCACCAGCTCAGTTTTTATGTTTACAGGTCTCTTTGATTTTCCCATTGTTCAGTGTATTTGTTTGCATGCTACACTGGTTTATCAAAAATATTCATTCAGTAGTGTAGTATAAAATGCTGTCAAGTCACACTAATCCACAAATCCATTTTGATTAATTGTCCAAAGTAAAGAGTTAATGTGTGTGTGTGTGTGTGCGCGTGCGTGTTGGTCTTTAAAACAGTATGTGCTGACTTCTTCAGTACATAGACTGATGGTCTGAACAGTATATTTGTGTGTGTCCACCAGAGGATGACCAGAAAGAGAAGTCTCTCTCTCACCACACCATTCAGCAGCTGATCATGGAAAAGGACCAGGCCTTGGCTGACCTCAACTCTGTGGAAAAGTCCCTGGCTGACCTCTTCCGACGCTACGAGAAGATGAAAGATGTGCTGGAGGGCTTCCGCAAGGTGACTAAAACACAAATTATTCACCACTAATGGGTGTTTTTTTTTAGCATGTCAGGCCTTGTAAGTCATCCAAAATTTTCTTTGAGAACCTTAATGACAAATATTTAAAATATTTCTCACTCTGTTCAGAATGAAGAGGTTCTGAAGAGGTGTGCTCAGGAGTATCTGTCCAGAGTCCGTAAAGAGGAACAGCGCTATCAAGCCCTGAAAATTCATGCAGAGGAGAAACTAGACAAGTAAGTCTATACATAGTGTCATTAATTATTGTTTATTACATCATAACTGTATTGTTGTCCTGAGTGGGGAAAAAACACAAACTAACATTAACACATTGTCCAGCTAAAATGTGTGGATAGACTAATGTAATTATTCTGTAAAAATATAGTGTTAAATTCTCTATTGATAATATGAGGTTGTGCTTTAATAAAGCTTGCTAGGCTTATGGAGATTATGGAGAGGGGACTTGCTTCTTTGCTTGTGTGTTTCCAGGGCCAATTCCGAAATAGCTCAGGTGCGAGTCAAGGCCAAGCAGGAGCAGGCCGCCTACCAGGCCAGTCTGAGGAAGGAGCAGATGAAGGTAGACTCTCTGGAGCGCACTTTGGAGCAAAAGGTCAGCGGTAGGGTATAAAAAGATTGGAAATCAGACAAAGCTCTATGCACACAAATGTATAAATTGCATTTTTACCAATTGCTTTACAGAACAAAGAGATTGAGGAATTGACAAAGATCTGTGACGAGCTGATTGCCAAGATGGGGAAGAGTTAGCAGCCACCTCGACAACCAGACCAACTCACACAGAGGAGAGGAGCAGTTGTGGAAAAACTACTTGGAAAATGAAGTGTATCAGTAATTTGTTCTTTCAAGGGTTTTTATTTCCTATTGATTTTCTGTACACAGAATTTACAGTAATTGCTTTCTCTCTGTGCTTTTTTTGATGTGTCAGTGTATCGTACTGTATCAGGGGTCTGGTTTAAATTTTTAGAAACTGTACCATATCACTAATGAGTGTGCTTGTATGTGTGTGTGTGTGTGTGTGTATTAATGAAAAAGTGAGAGCATGGTTTGTGGGTTAAATTATCTATAATGATGTTGCCATGACAGCCACTGAGGGAGGAGACTGTTTACCCACTTCTGTTGTTGTCTACAAGAGAAAGAGAGTGCCAGAGATTCATTGATAAAATGTTGAGAACAAAAGCTATCACAATATCTTACTGCATGTGAGATAGACAGACATTTTTGTATATACTGTAGGGAATTCCAAATATCTGCATTTTGTTGGTAGTTATTCTGTCATCCCATCCCACTTTTCTCCTGTAATCTTGTAGATATTTGTCATACTGGTCATAGCTTTCTTGATGAAATTGTGGGACTTTATTTTTTGGATTTTATTTTGATATAAAGCAAACTAATCATGGCTGTATTCACTAGTGACCAAGAGTAATTTAATTTTGGATTGATATGTCCTAGTCCTGCTATGGTTGATGTGTCCCACTGAGGAGAACCTTCTCTGCATAGCTACTGTACAGCATCTGCTTAAAACGTGCAATAAAAGATGGCAATACTGCACACCAGGTTCCCCCTGGTTCTTTTGTGTATGTTTTTACATGATACAGTATGTGAGATATGCAAGGTATCCCTGGGAAAGACACTGACCCCCCCACACACATTACTCCTGGTGGCTGCCCCATCAGTGTATGACTATGTAAATGCTTGTGTGCATATGGAATATGTTGAAATACACAAATTTGAAAAAGTAAAAATTATGGTTTGATAAAATACTAATTTTTATCTACATATTTTGTATGATATTTAGGAGGAATATAAACACATAAATACATAGGTTTATAAATTGCTGTGAGACAGCTTTAGTGTATTTCTTGCAACAATAACTAACCAATAAAATACTAAAAAAACTGACACGCTTTCACACCAAATGTGTGACTGAGCCTGTGTGTAAACTAGATAGAAAGCTAGCAGAGAGGATGTAATAAAACACTGCCAGTGAAAGATAAATGGTTGAAAGTCAAGCTTCTGACACTCAAAGTAGTTGCAGTATGAATGCAAACTTTAAGATCCAGATTAAGCATCAACAATTCCAGGACATGAAAAAGAAATACTGAAAGTGTTTCTATTCCATTTTAACACTGATTTGAAAGAACATTTAGTGTAATTATACTGAATAATATAAGTAGGTGTGCACATCTTAAGTTACCAGTCACAGGTCAAAACCAGACAATGAAGGCTAGATCACAATCTCTTATTACAGTGACTGGATTTGGCTGCCAACCAAAACCACTTACAATAAACAAACACTTACCTACACCAAACCTTGATTATAATTACTAAGGCTGTATAATTATGGGTCATAACAAATTGTTTGCACATATGTTATAGGGTCATTTTTGACTAGAAGAGTCCCAGGCGACTGATCGGTCTTGCGACTGATAATTTGACTAGTCGACTTTGAGGGGACAGCCCTGCAGATATGTGGGTCTGGTGGAAACATGTAAACCAGGGCAGTGGTGTGTTTTGTCTGTAATTGTTTTGCTTTTGAATATGTTGATATATTATGTGTTGCTTAGTTTTTGTTTAAGTTGTTTTGTATCGTATTGGTTTTGTTACTATAGTTATGTTTTTGATTATAATCTGTCAAGGGACTACAGATAAAAATGAGCTTTAAGATAACTCCAGTACAATACATTAAATGGTAACATTTATGTTTATAGTTCCTTACAAATAAAAGTTGGGAAAAAGCCCCTTAACTTACACACACCTAGCTGTGTTTTCACTCCTTGTGGGAACTTCACATTGACCTACATTCATTTCCTGTAGATTTGTCCTAACCTTAACCATAACCACTACTTGCCTAACCCTAACACCTAACCTTAAACCATGTTGTCATCCTAAAATTCAGTGATTGGCTGAGTCCCTACAATGTGAGTGTTTTAGCAGGTTTTATACAAAGCCACACACACGCACACACATGCACACACACGCGCACACAGCAGGATTCTAAAAAGTATTTTTTCAAATGAAAACTCCTTTGATCCTAGTGACATCACAAAGTGACTCTTCACGGAATGCATGGTGTGATCTCTACACAGCATCCAACAGCAGAACTCAAACAGTCAAGACAGGTTGCAGGTGTGGATTTGTATTTTAACGACAAGTTTCACGTGTGAGTTTTTATTTTACTGACAAGTAATCAGTATTACAGCCTGTTAAACATCATGGAAGGTGATTCATATCAGGAGTTTCAAACTCTTGACAGAAACAGCAGCACAGAGCCCTGTGGTGTTTCTGTCCAGACCAGGACTATGAAAAGGAAGGCCAATACTGATGGTTTTAGACCAGAGAAGAGGATGTGCATCTTCAAATCTGCCTTTGAACACAGGAGAGGCAGAAAAAGAAAAGTCCCTGCAAATGAAGAGAACATAAGAAAAAGGCAGAGGACTTCTGAGACTGAAAAGCACATTGGCAGGCTAAAGAGGAAAGCCACTGAAAATGAAGACAAACCAAAAGAGAGACAGAAGGTCTCCAAACTGAACCAGAGAGAAGAGGACACCACCTCATCATCACTGGATGCTGCACTACCTCAGAAGAGGGACAAAAACAACATGTCCACCTCAGAAGAAACCAGAAAGCTGGCGTTTGAGGCAAAGTACCAGCAGCTGAGCCCATTGGGTGAAGGGGGCCATGGATCTGTCTATGCTGGTTACAGGAGAGCAGATCATTTCCCTGTGGCAATAAAACACATTCCCAGGGACAATATCATCTGTAAAGGCCTCACTCAGAACAGAAAGACAATCTCTCTTGAGGTGGCAGTCATGAAAAAGATGGCAAGTGGAGCAGCAGGATCAGTAAGGAAATCTGCAGCCATTTCTTTACTGGATAACTATGATCTGGAACAGGAGCTGATCCTGGTCCTCGAACGTCCATTGCCATCCAATGACCTCTGCAAATATATTGAGGTCAAAGGAGGGTCCCTGCAGGAGGAGGAGGCCAAACTGTTTTTAAAGCAACTTATAGAAGCCGCCATGGAGCTTCAAGCAAAAAAGGTTTTCCACAGGGACATCAAGTTGGAAAACATCTTGGTTGAAACTGGAAGTAATGTCCCACGGTTGAGGCTGATTGATTTTGGCCTCAGCTGCTTCACAAAGAAGACCTCATCCTATAAGACCTTCTTTGGTACTGATGCCCACATCCCACCAGAATGGTACCAGTGCTACATCTACAGGGCCGAATCCACCACAGTGTGGCAGCTGGGAGTGGTCCTGTATGACATGCTGCACAGGGACACACGATTTGAAACAACAAGGTTCCTGAGCAGTCAACTTGGCATCAGTAAGGAGTTGTCTCAAGGCTGTCAGCAAATGTTGCGCCTGTGTCTTGCTGTAGACCCACAGCAGCGGCCTTCATTGGAGCAGCTCTGGCTTCACCCCTGGCTCGCATAAGCAGCCCTTCACCTTCTGGACACCTGTGCAAACCACACTTCCAACACCCACTACCTCTACCCTTCCTCCTAACCTTGTTCTCATGTGAAGTACTTCACAAGACTATAACATTCATTGTAAATAAAATGTAAAACATTCAATACATGTGTAATAGAAGTTTTTACATGAATGTTTTCATACCAAACATAATGTAAAATAACAGTATTCTGGAAATATTTAGAACATAAGTTGTCCTTGACAAAATCTCAGGAACTAGTTCTCTGGATGAATGCAATTCTCAGTAGACATTTTTAAGTTTTCAAATAGTGCCATATTAAATGCTGGCAGCACCTGGTAAAACATACTGTACCTACAACAGAAGTATCATTTCACAGATGGCAGCCAAACTGAAATGATTTACTGCTGTTCTTGGAAACATAATGTCGAATTTCTCATTCATATCCCCAGACAGATAATATTTTCAAGCGTCTGACAGAAGTAGCTGTACATCCCTAATGTTGATAGGGCCACAGTATCAGTTAAAGTTAAGCATTTCGGTTTCACAGTGATCAGTCCTGATTAAAGACGACCGAGGACCACCAGCACCATGGGAGATGTCCAATACTGTCCACTTCTGCTGCTTTTTCTAATCCTGCTAGCAACCAACAGTATGGACGGGCTCTTCTTTTTCTATATTGCTCCTTCTTTCATTTTTTCTTTAGACCTTCCTCCTGCTCATTACCTTGTCCACCTATCATTTGAACCTGATTAGTGCCCTCTTCTTTCTTGTCACTCTTGGATTTCCAAGAATAGTTAGCATTTATTGCTTTTCTATATATCCGACTTTTTCCTCTGAGGCAGTTACATTTAGGGTCAAACACTGCAAAAAGTGGTGCTGATTTCAGAACAGGAAGATATCGAGTATAACAACACTACAGTTATCTTTATTTCTCAGATGCCAGGCATGTTTATTAAATCCAAGAGGACAATTTTACAGCAAATCCTTATAATGACACTTTATTTCATGTCAGATTTGAGCTAATTATGGTTATATTCTCTGGGTATTCTCCAGAGTTTTATCTCCCTTCAGTCTGTCATCCTCCTTTGTAACCGGCATGCAATCCCAGCAACTAATCTCCTAATGGGCCTGAAGGCTAATACCTAAAAGGGTGTAGAGTGGCTGTGCCATGTGGATAGATTGGGGTCACCTACAAACATCAGGGGGGATTCAGATTTCATGCCAACACACAGAGGAGCAAATAACAGTGAATAAAGTAGTCAAACTACTCAAATTCATACAAGAAATATTGATTTGCTGTTGTTGTTTTCACTGTTTTACTGTAAATGGTGTAGTGTTTATCAGCAACAAGTCTAATGTAATGACATTTTAGTTTATTACTGTGTCTGCTTGCTTTCTTTGGAAATTGTCACCTCTCTTTGTGTTTGAGCATCTTTTTTGTCCTTATAAGTGAATGATAAAAGCGAAGTCCAGGGTTAAAGGAGGTTATTTTGTTAGCCTAACAAGAAATGCACTTCTGCAAAGGATATTTGAAACTTTTCTTGTAAGTCCAGCTCTGTTTGATCCTCTTGGGAAGCAACATTAAAAACAGTTTTCCAAGGGTTGTTTTAGAGTTTAGGAGATGGAGCGTGGTTTTCAACAGGAAGCATTGAAGTGATATTTCAAAGGTCAGCTAGTTCTCAAGTAAGCGCTCCATCCTCTGGAGAGCTTCAAAAGACTTTTGAATGTTTTATGTGCTGATGTGAGATACTGACGTTTTGTCAGAATACTACAAAAATGAATTTCAAATCTGAGAGGACAAAGTAAATTCTTGCTTTATCTGAGAAGATTTGTGTTAAGGAAGAGAGTAATTAGTGCACACTCTTCACCCTGAATGTATGATAAATGGGGCTGAAGCCTGAGTATGCTACCGTGTAATGCAGTCTTTGCTATACTACAACAGCTGCAGTTGGCTGTCTTAAGAATCACTTTTACCAGCTTATGGAGTTAAATCCCAAAAATAGCAGCAGTAACATTAGCAGCATAAGCTGAAATAAGAAGTCGAAACATTCGATACAAAACATTTTTAACCACCACTGAGATATTTAGTGTAAATCCTTGCATTACTCAGCAGGTCAGTTGAAGAATAACAGTAATTTACTACTATGTAGCTTTCAGTTGTTCCAAATTAAGTTTCTGATATTTGAGCATCATATGATCCATCTTCTTCCATCTTTCCAGACATATCTGGACTGTATTTGACCAAGACAAATCTATGCTTTAGCGATCACTTAACTGTTTTCTTTCAATATGCCTTCTGACTGCACTGCTTTAGTCAGTGTAATAGTGGCATTTCCTTTCTGTTTTTATCAGGTGAAGCTTTGCGATGTTATACCTATATGGGTTCCAATAATAATGACTGAATAATGAAACCGGCAAGGTTTCAAATCCTGTCCCAGCTACTCTGACGCCTGCGCTGTAGTGATGTGGTGAGTCCAACACTGACAGTGTAGTAGCCTTTTAACTTTCTTTTTCCACAAATATGCATAAATCTCTGCATATATCTGCATTTGTGAATGTCTGTTTGTGTGTTTAATGGAGACGGGGCTGCTGTCTGGAGACATATCTCAGTCAGCAGGGGGTTCTAAGGCTTTTAAGGGAATGAAGAGCTTTGCTACTCCTACTCAATCAATATCCTTAATAAGGACAGCATGTGTTCATGGCACCAAGACAATTCCTCTTCACAAAATTAAATTAACTCAGTTTCCTAACTTAAATCCACACAAGGCAAGGATTTTACATAAAATACTAATTACCAAAAACTGGGGGAACAGCAAACGTGTCTGGAAATGACACATTATCAATGTTCTACTTTCTCCAAATTTTTCTAGTGTCCGGTGTATGTACAGTAGCGTACATACACTGGACACCCACAGGCAAAGTGACAAAATCAAAAAATAAGACAGAAAAACAAGATTAAAGCTTTATAACCTGACTTAATTGATCAGCCAGGGCAGTCTTGGTATTGATGGCTGATTTAACATTATATAAGGATGATAAGGATAATCACCTTTATTTGGCCAAGCATGTTACACACACACGGAATATGTTATCATAGATAAGCTTGAGGTGCTAGGTGTGACTGTGTGCATTACAGCATATGCACCATGTTGGTTTGAATCCATTAATGAGTGGGCAGATAGATGCATCTTCCAGTGGACTTAATCAGTAACTAGAGGATTTTAGGGGAAGTGCTGAAAAAACAGGCAAAAATCATTTTATTTGCTTCCTATATTAACAAGGAAGAGATGCTTCTAATGTTCAGTGCACAAGTAACAGGATCAAGCTTTGAGTTATTTTGAGTTACATTTTACTGAATCTATTGTCTTTTTGTACCTACATAGCTATACGTCTAAATATTTCAAGAGTGGTGGAAAGTACATTTACTTAAGTACTGAAATACAAGTTTGAGGTAACTGTACTTTACTTCAGTATTTTTATTTTCTGCTACAGATCTTCATACTTTGACTTCGCTACATACTGTATTACAGGCAAATATTGTACTTTTTACTCCACTACAATTATTTGATTCACTTTAGTTTCTATTTACTTTTCAGAATCAGATGAATAAAACAAAATACAATATAATCACGAGACCTCACTGATCCCTGGTGGGAAGTTCACAAGCTGCCCAGCAGTGATTCAAATTATAAGCATAGGTTGTTAGACTTAGCTTCACCTTTACCAGCTGCAGCATTAAATGTGATATACACAATAATACATCAGCAATAATGATCTAATAATATGATGTACATTAAAGTTAATTGTGCCATTCCTCATAATGACTGTTTTTACTTTTGGTACTTTAAGTATATTTTGATAACATTTTTGTACTTTTTCTTAAGTAGACGTTTGGATGCAGAACTTTAAAGTCGCTATATTGTTGCTATATTTACTTAAGTAAAGACTCCAAGTACTTCTTCCATCGCTGTATATCAACATACAGTAGCTCTTGGTGCAACAGATGTAACTGCAGCGAGATGTGGCACTGAGAGTTCAGTCTGGTGGTGTGTGGCTGCATCATTAGCCTTCTACCTGTCATCCACACATCTGGCAAACTGTGTGAATTATTTTGGGAAGGTGGTAAGGAAACAACTTTTCACACAATGCAAATCTACATAAGCCTTTTACATTGCCAGGTGCGTTACAAAGATGTGGTTAATCCACTGTGTTTGAAGTCGCTTAAAGTATTACTGAGTTTTTGAAAACACCTCACAGGAGGGCAGCCCGCTGCATAAGTAGATGCTTCTGTATATAATGTATATAAATATTTGTGCATGGAAACAACAAGATATGTCTAGTGAATGATAATCCACACTGTTTAATGTGAAATAATTTTTGCCAGTAATTGGAACTGGAACATTAAATACAGAACCTTTTAGTCCTGTCATTTATATAAAATCCTACCATGAACAAAACCTAAGCTGCACATTCTGATTTTACAGTATGCACATTTTTTAAGATGTTTTATGTACATTTCTCATCATGGATGAAATTTCAATCTAGTTCAGTAAAAAAAAAAAAAAAACTAGGGATGTTCATCCTTTTTCTGCTGTATATGCTAAATTGTGTAAGGAAATACTGTACATCCAATTACTGAATGACACAATAAAGCTAATGTTGGATGTACAAACTAGTTCATTATAATTCTATGTAAACAATCAATATAAAAGTATTTTATAACTGGCTGTGTTTGAATGTAAATTTTTCATTCTTAAAAATCAAAACAACATAAAAATTATCAACAGTGAGAGATTATTTTAACGTCTTCAAACAAAGGAAATTGCACTGGGAGCAAGTGAATTAACCTCATCTAAGCTGACAGAATTGTTTCCCTGATGCAGTTTTTGAGATTAAATAATATGACTGCCATGCTTGTTTGCTTGTACTGATCATACTAATCACTGGTGCAGAAGAGAACCACCCTATACCATCACAGTGTTTATGTTTTTATCCATGTTAGCACCACATTAGTTAATTATTGTGACTTAAGTATAAGATTTCCAAAATAGTGCTTCAGTTCTATTCAGCTAAAAGATTCATGTGGTATTTATAGTGGCTACTAATAAAATTAAATGTTACTTTGGTTGATCAATGTATTTT